AGGGGGCAGCAGGCAGCCGGGGGACAGCTGGATTCCCATCAGGGAGCCGGGAGCCCGGGGGCAGCAGGGCTCTAGCTGGAGTCTCCCACCCACCTTGGGGTGACAGTCCGAGCTGTGAGCCCAGCAGGGGTTCTCAGCAGGGAGCCTACCAGCCTGTCTTGTCAATTTCAGGGCTCTTGCAGGGAGCTGTGAAATTGACAAGAATGACAGCAAACAGCAGATATAAGTAACGCAGTGTCTGTACCAGTGGTCCCCAAACTGTGGGGTGTGTCCCCTAGGGGATGCAAAGGAACATTCAGTGGGGCATGGTGGGGCCTGGGCAGCCCCCGGGGTGGGTGCAGAGGGAGCACCACCCAGCCCCGCTTTGCCCCCAGCTCTGCGCTGGCCCCGCCCACAGCCCAGCTCCACTCCTGGCCACAGCCCCAGCCTCAGCCCAGGCCTTGACTCCTGGCCCGGCCTCGGGGGGCTCACAGCTCTGCTTCTGTCTGCTTCCCCGTCCTGTGGGACTGGCTCCCAGCCGTGGCTCCCAACCACGGTTCGGGGTGGAGGGGCACAGACAGGTTCCATTATGGGTAAGAGGAGGCACGATGTAAAAAGTTTGGGGACCTCTGGTGTACACGGACTCTGTGTCTCCCTAACTACACCGATGTGAGCCCCACGCCGCTCATGGAGGTGGGGTGATGATGGTGGTGTCGTAGGGCACTTACGCCGGCGGGAGCAAGGCTGGAGTGTAGACACCAGGGCCGGCTCCAGGCACCAGCTGAGCAAGCTGGTGCTTGGGGCGGCAGATTGTTGGAGGCGGCATTCCACCCAATCCTAGGGCGGCACGGCCGCTTTTGTTGTTGTTGTTGTTCCGCTCCGGCCACCCTGTAGGGGGCAGCGGCGCGGAGAACCAGAGCGCCCTGCAGGGCAGTCCTCTTCCTTCCCTCCCCGCCGACGGGAGCGGAGCCCTCGCGGCAGGCGGCAGCGCAGCGGGAGGTGCCAGTGGCAACGCCCCTGCTGTAGCCCTGGCCGCCCCTTCTCTCTCTCTCCCACCCGCTCCCTCCCCCCCTCCAGCCGGTCCCCCTGCACCCGCGCTCCAGCCACGCCGCAGGTTGTTTTTTTTTGCTTTGCCGTTCTGGCCGCCCCGTTTTTATTTTATTTTTTTTTGCTTGGGGCAGCCCAAAAGCCAGAGCCGGCCCTGGTAGACACGGACATCAATAGGTTGACATAAGCTGCTTTACGTCAGCATAAGGACCAGGCCGCAGTTAGAGTCTCTGATCAAATCTGTCCGGTCTAGTGAGTCAAAAGTAACATCTTCCGTCCTTAGGATTTATGGTGCCCTAGGCGGGATTATTAAACTGGTGCCCCTGTGCCTGACTTGCTCTTAACAACACAAACATAAGCTGACAGGATTGGAAAACTTGCCATATGCATGTTATTAAACCCAGTTTAACTGAATGAAGCACACTGTGATGCTGATGGACTAGCACTAAAGAAGTAGCGCTAAAGAAAAAATTCTGATTTGACAGAATGATGCAAATAATATAATTTTTTTAATTTGTCAACATTTTATTGGAAATTGATATGAAGAGGTATTGAAACAAGGATTTGTTTTTAATTAAAAGCAATCGTTCTGGCTTTTTTTGGCTGCAAAAGCAGTAATAATGTCATTGTATGACAAAGACAAAGTGATGTCTTGTTCGATTGCAGGAACAGCAAGACCAGTCAAGCGTTCCTGACCCACTGTAGAACGGAGATAGTTTTTAATGAGCTTTAGTTTTGAGAAACTCCGTTCTCCTGATGCGACTGTTACAGGAATTGTCGGTAGAGTACGAGTGTCAATGTACACATTAGGATATATGTCAACAAGTTTGCTGGTATGAATAAACTGTACAATGTCCATCACCGATTTTGCATGTGGCAACATTGGTGACAGTGTCCTCAATTCTTCGTCCAGTTCAAGTCCATTTAAATCAAAACTATCACCGTGCTTCAGGAGGCTCTCTAGGTTCTTGCGCTGTGACCTTGAGCTAGTGTGAAGACACCTCCCAAGGCGCTCCGCCCTGACTGAGACACAATAGAGTTGGAAACCCAGGTCATTTTTACCAAGCCACTTTTTAGTTTTAAATGTATAGTGGGCATCAGTCTTAATGTTAGTTACAACTCTATATCAACCTTCTACTGTAAATAGATCAATGGCATTATCCAGTTTAATAAGCTGGGTTTCCAAGCAGTGGGGAAATATAACCCTAGTTTTACTCCTAGGTAAAGCACAAAGTGACCAAACTGAAGTCAGCAC